TGCATAGTGAGATTTATTAAATACCTGTAACTGTCTGTGGCAATTTGTACAGGAGAAACCTTGTAAATGTGTGCATATATGTGTCTGAGTGAATATGCAACATATGTATATATATGCACATATATCCTTTTTATGATTATTACCAACCATATCCATATCCATAAACTGTAGTTCCACAGTACCTGTGAACTAGAGATGGAGTCATTATAATCAGTTACGGGTATGAATGGAGTGCCCACTAGAGTTGGTGATTGTCCCTCAATATCCTTTTTACCTTTGTTCCCCATTTACACCAAGAGCAATTGCTGAAGTGTATCCTCTTGAATTACCTAAGGACATACCTCACCACAGCCAGCATTATTTTTCTTTTCAAGTATCAGTGTCTGTTCTCAAATTAGATAACTATATTCCCTTTATTAACATGCTCCTGATACTACTTCCAGGGAACTAAAAATCCTGGCATTATAATGTTAAAGGCTATTTGGCTCCTTTCTGTTCTCACATAAAAATTCCTAAGGGCTCCCCGGTGGCGCAGCGGTTGAACGCTGGGTTGCGAAGCTGCCCTCAGCCTCTGCAGCAACGGTTCGATCCCCGGCTGCTCCCCGGCCACTGGAGGAGGGTCCCACATGGCGGCGCAGACCTCTCCTGCCTCCCGCTGCTCCCCTCAGCAGTGTACTTCGGTCCTTCTGCCTGCTCTGTTCCCCGCTCTGGCTCTGGTGAATTCTCTCACCCTCCCGCGCTTCTGACTGTACCCAGTGCTTATATAAATAAAAATAAATAAATCTTTAAAAAAAAAATTCCTAAATTTAATTAAGTTTTCTATTAAAAGAAGCATGCATGTATGAGTTCATGTTTTCAATTCATTTTACCACACCAATAACCTTTCGATGGCTGCATATATATATATATATATAAATTTATTTATTTATGCATACATAAATGGGGTACAGGCCAGAGGTGTGGAGGGTGAGAAGATTCATCAGAGACAGAGTGGGGAACAGAACAGGCAGACTGACTGAAATACACTGCTGAGGGGAGCAGCAGGTGAGTCAGGAGAGGTCTGCTGCGCCATGTGGTTTCCCTCCCTGGCCAGGGATCGAACTTGTGCTTCAGTGGCTGCGGATAGCTTCATAGGCTGTGTTTTAACCCCTTGAGCCACCAGGGAGGCCCTGCACATATATATTTTTTAACGATCATATTGTTATAGAACACTATATATGATTTAGAGATATAAGATCATACCCTTCAAATGTATGTTATAAAACCACACCCATCACCACCAAGACACCCATAGATCTCCACCATAGCACACTGTGCCCCTTCTTTCTCTGGAAGCCCCAATTCTACAGTCAGATTTCTAGTCTAAAGTTTGTTATTGGGTCGGTTTTGTCTGACCCTTTGTTTTGTCTCCCTATATTCCACATACAAGTGAAACTAATTGGTATTTGTCTTTCTCCTTCTGAATTATTTCGCTTGGCATTATCTTCTCCAGTTTAATCCATATTGTCATAGTTGGCAAGGGTTTATCTTTTTTAAAGCTGAATAGTATTCCATTGTGTGCACACACAATATATACATACACACACACACAGACACACACATACTGCATCTTCCCAACCTATTTAACTGTGCTTGGGCACTTTGGTTGTTCCATAACTCAGCTGTTGTAAAGAGTACTGCAATAAACAATCCTTAAAGAATTCATAATCTAGGAAGGGAGAGAGAAGGGAAAACAAAAGAAATTTTAGCACCTAAGCTGCATTTGCGCAGGGCATCAGTGAGAAGCTAGTATTTGAACAATAAGGAATCATCATTCCAGGAAAAAAGGAATAGCACTAACAGAGTTTCAATACTTTGAAATAACATAGTATGTCAGGAAAATGTTAAGTAGGTAATCTAATTCTGGGTATTCTGAAATGTTGGTTATTGAATGGAGAAAACAGTTTTGGGGGTTTAGTCTTTTTTTAGTAATGGTTATTATGGTATTAGCTAATTAACACCTTTGAAGGCAAAGTCAAGAAGTTGAAGCACTGAAGTTAGGAGGGATAAATGTTACAGGCAAAGAAAGAGAAACATGCTAGGATGTACTGATGACTAATTATGGAGTGATGGCAAGGACTGTCCCTTGGATTGAGAGGAGCAAGAGACAGCTGTCTGTTACGTTGGTCAGGAAGTATTTCATAGAAGCTGTAGGACTCCCATTTTGTTATTCAAAAAACTGAGAATCACTGTATATATCATGGGCTGTTTTTGGAGCAGGAGGTTCAAACCTATCATCTAATAAGGAACAGATAATCAGGTAATTGCAAAAATAAGGCAGAGTACTGTAATTGAGGCACTCAGAGACTGATTCCAGAAAACCTCAGAGGTAATCTTCCTTAAAATTAGGGAGGCCAGGGATGAATTGCCAAAGTTGATGCTGTCTGCCCTGAGTTTTGGAGGAGTAGGCTCCAAAATTCAATGAGATAACTCAGTCCTTCCAAAGAACATGAAATAGTTTAGAATGGTTGAAGCAAAGGCTAAAAGACATTGAAAAGAAGTTCCTTAGCAGTCAGGAAGATGTTTGATTATGAAAGTCTTTTTATAGGATGTTAAAGAATTTGGATTTTTATTCTGAAGAGGGAGTTGATGAAAATTTTATGCAGAGAAGTGACGTGACTAGTCCTAAGTCTCAAAATGATTACTACTAAAGGCAAAGATGATAAAGGTAATTGAAGACAAACTGATATGGGGGCAGCCTAAAAGGCAGGGAGCTGAAATAATGGCTCTAACAATTGTTTAGGAAAAGTGAGAAGGATGGGCAAGATTTGGGGAACTAGAAAAGCAGCTAAATTCCCTGTGGGAAATGATGTGAATAAATGTTTGGAAAGGGGGAGGGCTAGCAAATCAACTTACTTGGAGTACACAGTATTTGCTAGAAATGCAGTGATTAGGGAAAGACTAGAGTGGAGGGTGAGTTATGGAACAGTTGATGATGAGTTGAAATTATTGGTGGAGTTGGCCTGCGGCAAAGTTATAAAATAAATAGGCTATCCCAGCAAATGGACTTAAGGTGAAAAAAAAATAATAGGCCAAACAATTAGGGTTTAACTTTTCCCCTGGCAATATTAATTTATTGTGGTAAATTAATTTTTTTGTGGTAAAATGTACATAACATGAAATTTACAATCTTAACCATTTTTAAGTGTACAATGCAAGAATATTAAGTAGTATTGGGATTAAGTTCATTCACATTGTTGTGCAACTCTAAACACCACATTTCCAGAACGCTTTCATCATTCCCATTGAAACGTAACTCCAAAATCAACAAGCAACTATAAACCAGAGACACATGGGGGAGGGGGGGAGGGAGAAGGATGAAAACAAAGGGGGTGGGGATTGTATGGGGACTATAACCATGACGAAAATGCATACATGTGCAAAAATGAAAAACGATGTAAAAAATATATAAAATAAGATAAAAATTAAAAAGAAAGTATATTCTCCGTCCCTCCTCACCCCCCCCCCCAAAAAAAAGTAACTCCTCCTTCTTCCCTCCTTTCCGGCCCTGATAACTATCATAGAACTTTTGGGGGCTCTAGGAGTTTGACTACTCTATTTACTCTAGGTACTGTGTAAGTGGAATCATACAATACACTGGCTATTCAGCAGCTGGATCCTAATTTGTATTCTACTCTATGTGCTTTATTTTAAAACATCTATCTAGTTTTTCTGGACGTTTCTACCTAACGCTTAAGAACACTACACTCTAGCAAATTCTAAACTCAGTGCTAACGGCAAATTAGCTTACCACTGTGTCTGCCGTAAAAGGTTTTTACCGGTCTGCTTGTCTTTAGAGTGTTTCATGCCATAGTTTATGACCTTTTGCAAAATTCCACGTAGTACCTTATTGGCAGTGAGTCATGGAGCTCACCCAGGAGAAGGGAACTTAACTTAGCTATTTGGGAGGCTGATTTGAAAGTTCTCTTTTGATACTGCGTCTTTTCCCATGTGGGGTTGAATATGCTCCAAGGAGAACGCGCGCGCGCGTACACACACACACACGCTGAGAAAAAACTCTCAAAGTTCCAGGTGGTTGAAAACGATTAGGGTTTTCTCACCTGTAGCCCTAGGTCACTGGTGTGCTGTCAACAAGTCGAGTAACTTGGACAAAACACTAACCCTGCGGAGGTGAGCGGGCTAGATTAGGCCCATCTGGGCTTCCAATCTCGTCCCCATCGCGCCCAGAGCGCGGCCCTGCAGCGCCCCGAGGTAAACGGAAGAGGGAGCGCCGCGCGGCACACCTGGAGCCCGGGGCCAGCGCCTCCCACGTGGACGCGCCCGGGAGCCCCGGCCGCAGGGTCGTTCCCGTGGCCGTGCCACGGCCTTCCGTTACAGAGGACGAGCTGGGGCGGCCGCAGCTCCCGAAGCCAGACGCCGCTCCCGCCTTATATAAAAAAAAAAGTCTTTATTCCCTGAGGACTAAGGCGCAACAAGCCACGACCGGGCCAAGTCGCGCCAATACGCCGCACGCGCCTCGCCGATTTTACGTCTCTACCCAGCAGGCCCCGGGGTTACCGCGAGACTTCGCTGACGCTCGCGAGATTTACCGGCAGCCATCTTCTGGGGGTGCTGGGAGCCGGGAAGACCCCCTGAGCCGTTCCCATTGAGCTGCCCTTCGTTTTCGCTTTCTTCACTTTTGCCTCTTCTTCATTGTCAATCACCACCCGGGCCCGAAGCTGAGAGAAAGCCCGGGTCTAGGCGCGGCCCGCGCTTCTTCTGGTCCGAGAAGATTGGCCGGGGTGGAGGGGCGGGGGAGGGCCGGAGCAAACCGTTGCTGCCTCAGCCGGGGCTGCGGTCCGGGGCGAGGGAGCGCCCGGCACCCCGTGGACTCGCGGCCCGCGGCTGTCCTCGCGGAGCTGTTCGCTGATCGGGCCTCACGGGAACCCGCCACCGGCGCCTCCTACCGCGGCCCACGCGGGCGGCGCGCGGAGGAGGGGGCGGGGGCAGCGGCGGCCGTAGCGGCTGCGACCTGGGCGGGCGGAGGAGTGTGACGGGCCTCGGGGCCGCCGTGGATGGTTTCTAAAATGATCATTGAAAACTTCGAGGCGCTCAAGTCCTGGCTCAGCAAGACTCTCGAGCCCATGTGAGTAGCCGGGGGCTCGCTCGTAGGGATGGCAAGGGGAGGGAGGCGGACACGGAGGTGTGCGGTTTCCTAAGTGCCTGCGGCGGAGGCCGAAGCGGTGAGCTGAGGTCCTGGGGCTCGGGGTGTCTTGCGCCTCCCCGGCCTTCGCCCCGCAGAGCCTGCGCCCCCCCCCCTTACCTCGTTGCTGAGTTGATCCCTGAATCACTGTCCCCTGTTCTTGATCTCCCGTTATCTGCAGACTGACCCCAACCTGCATACACTTGTTTTTTTCTTTCTTTGCCCAGGGCCCCCCAAATCGGTTTCTTCTTTTCAGTGAATCCGAGCATAGCCTCCTGCCCGCCGACTATGATTTTACCTTGTTTCTTTAATTGAAGTGTGTCTCGCAGGAATTAGGATAGTTCTAGTGCCAGTCACTCACGTTTTGCCAAAAGGCAATCCCTGAAAGAAAGGCCTCTTCCATGTGCTGTCTGGCTGAACGCTAGCTCTCCTAACGGATTGAGGATGTAACAGGTGCTAAGGTGCCCAGTAAAATTCCCTTTTCCCAGCTACGTGGTCGTTGGCTTGGAGAGAGGAGGGAGAAAATGCCGTCTAGCCATATGGACTATTTAGCGGTTTAAGTGCCATACTTTAGATGAGCCGGGCGGTGCGGTGGGGGGAGGGGATGGGAGACCCAGGGCTGAAATGTCTTAGATGGGAAAAATCAAGGAGTGTTTTAAGGATTTATCTATTAATGTAGCATAATGTAACATTTATCTTGGGGCACATAATTACAGTTGGTTTATTTAAAATAAAATGCATTGAGGAAAATTTGCTTACTTAATACATTTGTTGAGCACCTACTGTGTGCTGTGGATAGACCTGTTAAATTCCAAAGTCATCTATTAAGACAAGATAACTGCAGATAATAAGAGCAATGCTGCATTGTTAGTAGAGAAACACATAAAAGAGTGATTCGAAGGCCTTTCAGAGGAGGTAACATTTGAGCAACCCGTTTAGGAGGAGGCGAAAACTTCTGTGTGGAGGTCTAAAGAAAACGTCCTAGCGGAAGTACAGAGTGCAGAGGCCTTATAGCAGCAATGATCATGGTGTGTACCAAAGCAAGAAGGCAGTTGTGGTTGCAAGGGACTTTGTGATGGGGAGAGGGGACATGCATTTGGAAAAGTTAGCAGGCACCAAGTCTTGTACGATCGCCAATCCATAGTCAAGAGTTAGGAATGTATTTAAAATGTAATGGGAAGACATTACATGATTTAAAGCAGGCAAGGACTGATTTGACTTTAATTGTCTGCTTTGTGAAGAGTAAAGGAGCTAGAATGGAAGTAAGGCCTTTCTGAAGGGCATTATAAGCAGAGATATAGAGTGATAGTGGCATTAGAGTGAGAGTGGAGAGAGAACCAAATGTTTTATAAGTAGATTTGATACAACTTGCTGATGGGATTGGATGGGGAAGATGAGGGAAACGTAAATTAAAGATGATTACTAAGAAGTTAGCCTAAGCAACTGATTGAGTAGTGGCAGAGAGAGAATAAGGGAAGAAACAGGGTTGGTTAGTTTTGATTATTAAATGTTTGAATGTATGAATCTAGAACTCAGGCCAGGACTACAGAAATTTGGAGTCATGGAATTGTTGGAGCTTTCCTAGGAAGGTTGTGTAGATTGGGAACAGAGGAGGGCCCGGGTCTAAGGTGGGAATACTGAGATACATGTGTAACAGGAGAGGCAAATTGTCAACTTGTTGCAGAATGGAAGTTAAAAAAAGGAAGGCGGATAAGTAGCCATTAGGTTTGTCAGGGTGGAAGTCATTGGTAACTTTAGCGAAATAGTTTCACTGGAGTTGAGTGGTGCAGATAGAAGCCCCATTTTAATGGATTGGAAAGAGAGTAGGTATAGTCTAGTGGTTGGGAAGAGCTAGGGATCTGGAATGACTGACTTTGAATTCAACGCTGCCACTTACTAGCTATATAATATTGGGTAAATTACTTAACTTGATATCTCCGTTTCCTCATCTTTTAAATGAGGAAAACAATGAGTATGTGTTAAGAAAGTTTTTGAACACTACCTGCTTTGTAATACTTAATGTTAAGTGCACTGAAAACTGTTATGAGTTGAAATAGCATTCCTTTTCTTGAGACTTCAGTTTTCAAATTATTTACCAATTTTATTACCATTTCCCTCCCCCCTCCCAGAAGATTATATCTACTTAATGTGTATACTTGTGGGTTTTCTTTGATTTTTATCAAGCATATTCCAGATATATAACCTACTCAGTTGACTTTGTGGAGATTAAGAGTACAAGAATGAAAGTAGTTATTACTGTTGGAATAAATCAGATGCACTACTAGTAAGGCCTACATAGGGTAGGAATTAGGATTAGTCCTTTAATAATGTACATTGCTGTGGTAACATCGAGCCCCCCCTGCCCTGTCTTTTTAATTGCATTTCAGGTGAACTCTTTTAGATGATGACTTACAAAAGCTGATTCCAATTATTTAAGGCCTGTGATTTTTACCCTTGATTTTTGAAACTTGAAGATGTGTTATTTATATTTTAAAAAAAACAAGGGTAAGATGTAACTCAAAATTTGTATAGAACTTTTTAGCTACTTGTGCTAGTAAAATATCTGTTGATTTTGGACTTACCTTCATTTTGAATGTATTAATCCAGCATTATTGAGCTGCTAATCTACTCTGTGCTAAACTGTGTTAGATATTGAAGAAATAGGAATTAAGACATGAAATGACTGTTTAGTCATATCGTTCAGGAGGGAAGACACATGTTGAACAGTAATTACAAAACTGCTGACTGTTATGAAGAAGTCCAGAATGCTGTCAGAATATAGGTCTGGGACATCAGAAATGTTCTCACTCTGGAATGTTGAAGAGCATTTTGCTGGGACAAAAGATTAGGAATAGAGTGTTGTGAGAGCATTCTAGGTTTTGGAGAACAGATTGTGTGACAGTCCTGAAATGGGAAAGTAAAAACAAGTGTCTTGGAAGAATTGAGAGAAAATGAAAAAAAGAGCAAGGGGAACAATTATAGGGGGTAGCTTCAGGGAGGAGCTAGTTGACACAGCACTTTGTTGAGTTATATTAAGGATTTTGGATGTTATTAAACTACTGGGGGAAACCAGGGAAGAGTTTTAGGATAGAAAAGTTTTAGATTGACAAAAAAAGAAACAAATCAGTTTGGTTGTAGTTTCAATATGAAATAAAAGTTGGTAAATGTGTATTTTATTTGATTATAAGGTCTATAGGTGTGTGAGCATTCTTAGTTTTCTTTTTCATAAATTATTGAAAATGTAGGTGTTAAATTTGTCATCTTGAAATACTGAAGGTTGATGTTCTTTCAAACCTTTGCTTAGTCATACTTGCTAATAATAAAGCTAGAATATTTGAATCTCAAAATTTTTTGATATTCAACTTCTATTTTTGTTGTTTAAACAGAAAAAGGGTTGTTTTTTTTTTTGCTGTATTTTAAATCTTGTGTGAGTTTACACATCACTAAATGTGGTAACTTAATAAAATCATCAACTTTCTTTATCTGAAGGGAAAAGTCAGGATCTAATCAAACCTCTTAATTTTTTGGAGAATAAAATTGAAAGGCAAATAAACTTAATTATGTGCCACGATTATGTGAGTTTGGTGGCAAAGAACAGAATGCCTAGTTTTGTGCTCCTGCTGTGTAGTGTTGGGGAAGTATTTTGAAGCAGAAAGAAAATAAGTTTTGTGTCCACCTAGACCAGTATTCAAGTTTCAGTTCTGCCACTTATTAACTCAGTAATCTAGGCAAATGAACCTCCCATTTCCTTATCGGTGTAATAGGAGAATTATACTTGTTTCTCTCTGTAGTTGAAAAGATTGAATGACAAATTTTAAAAGCCTTGCTCCTCCTTTCTTTCTTAAGTACTGGTTGAAATTTAGAGTTATATTACTGTTGCCACTGTAACTGGTGTCACCACCCTGCCGCTATCCCTACTGGTAACATTTGTATACATTGTATTACTTCCAAGTTCCACCAGGCAAGTGTTGGTACCTCTTATACAGGTGATAATACTGAGACCGGATGAGAAGTTAAGATGCTTGACCAAACACACTACAGCTCGTGATTAAACAGTGATTTAAAATCAAGTTTTTGGACTCTGGAGCTATATTCTTAATTTACTACAGCACAATACAATGTCTTTTTATTATTGCACATACTTTTTTACTATTACATTTTCATAGTAGTAGCTGCTATTGTAAAAATACAGAGTTTCAAAGTATCATGCTTAACAGTGCTATAGAAAAATTTCAGAGTTTTTGAAATCTTTGCCCCATCACCTTTACCATACCTTTCTCACCACATCAAAGTTTATTTTTGGTCTTGTTTTACAGGAAGAACTGAAAGACGATCTTTTTACTTCTGTTTCCCTCCTAAATTTACTCTTTCTGTTTCTACAGGTCCTTAGTTCATGGACTCAATCTCCCTTTATTTATTTATTATTTTATTTTATATAATTCTTACATCATTTTTCTTTTTTGCACAATGTATGCATTTTCATTTTGGTTATATTCCCCGTTCAATTCCCACCCCCCTTATTTTGACCTAATCCCTCCTCTCCTTGCCCTCTGCCCCAGTAGTGGGTCTCTGGTCTACAGTTGCTTGTTGTCAATCTCCCATTTTTTTTTTTTTATTTTTTTTTGATAGAGGCATGCTTTATTTATTTGTTTGCTGGTTTGTTTGTTTGTTTTGTTTATACATGCACTGGGTATAGTCAGAAGCGCGGGAGGGTGAGAGAACCCACCAGAGCCAGAGCGGGGAATCTCCCATTTTTTTAAGAAAAATTCAGCAACGATAGCAAAAACAAAGCAAATAATACAATTATACTTCTAATCACTTTCATACTAGCTGGTCTTTTCCTTTCACTGGTAAATCTGAATAGCAGTCTTTTTTCACTCATTTACCCCCAGTAATTTATTTCTTAATACCTTAAATATTGTTTTCTTCCTATTTATATTCAA